GGAAGAAGGTAAAATAGGCGGGTGCGTGGATTGTCGGGCCGAAGAGGTAGTCGTTTTGTTTTGAGGAGATGAATTTGTTGGTGTAAAGGGAGGTGATGATGGGCCGAAGTAGTTGTTGTGTCTGTAGTTGTAGTTGTATGGATGTTGGTATAAGTTTGTAATGTATCTCATTGTGTAGTTGTCTATTTTACCTTCTTCCCAAAATTCACAAGGATCCCTCCACCTGGACTATTCCCTATGAGGTTCCCCCCGGTCGACCCATCGTCTCGGACTGCAACAGTACATCCTACAACATCTCCCAGTACGTGGAACACCACCTAGGCCCCCTTTCTATAAAACACCCCAGTTACATCCGAGACACATACCATTTCCTGCAATTGATCAGACTCATGGTCGTCCCTAATCAAGCCTATCTATTCACCATCGACATTGACAGCCTGTATACCAACATCAAAACCATCCTAGGCCTGCAAGCAGTGTCCTCCACCTTCACCCACAACCCGGATCACCTCAGACCAGACTCCCACATCCGAGGGGAGCGAGGGGCCTGGAAACCACCAACGCTGTATACATCATTACCTGCACCACCTGCCATAAACACTATGTTGGAGAAAGCGGTCATTCCATCCTCATTCGACTCAAACAACATCTGTACAACATCAGAGAGGGTCGTCTCACAACACCACTGGTCCATCACTTTCAGTCCCATCCCGCTGTCAGCATAATCATCTCAGGTCTGGAGTCCAATGACCGCTGGACTATTGGGCAGAGAAAGAGGGCGGAGAAATTGTGGATACAAAAACTGGGCACCACCATCCCGAGGGGGCTAAATGACAGCTGACAACACCAACACATTCTCATACCACACAAACCACACATTACAACACCCATCCACAGACCAATAGGCCAGTGCACACAAATCATAACCATGAATCACAAACCCCAACCATAACTCAAAACCTAACCCCTTAGGTTAACCCTAACCCTAACCCTAACCCTAAAATACACAGCCGGAAAAAATCTGCCACTTCCTTACAGAGCCCCTCCTCCAACACGCGCACATGACCAATGAGGGCACGAGATAAGTTTGTGCACGAGATGGAAGGCTGACAGGCAGGTAGGCCATCCAGTTACTTTAGCCGGGCTCGCTAATTGGTCGTGCTTTTTACAGCGCTACGGCTTCCACAGATGACATTTTTTAATGTATTTATTGTCAAAGCATTTAATATATTCATTGCTATCGAAATGTTAAGAGCATTCCATGGAATATAACAAAAAGGGTTTCTGAAATAAATTACATACTCCACCTTTAATGCAATTTTTGTGTTTTGTTACTTTGTTCTGAAAGCTGAACCTGCTGCTCCTCACAGAGAGAAGAGGGAAGAGGCTGTGTGAATTACTTTACATTGTGGATAAGGGTGGATAGCCCCCATTGTTCTGTGAGTCAAAATGAAAGACAGCCCACACACCTATCAATCATCAAACCGTGGGGTCTTATTTCATTACGTTGAATGTTGTATCCATGGATGTATAAAGAGTAGTTCTACAGCAAAAGTATTCTCCGTCGGGACTTCCTGCAACAACACCACGCCGTTATCTTGATTCTGATTGGCCAGAAGACATCAGCAAAGATGTTTTATTGAGAAGACGATCACTACGTGACAAAAGTTTTCAAAACCGTTTCTAGTCTTCGGCATTTCCAGACAAGCGGCTGCTGAAATCAATCTTACTAGCTGCTGTCTGTGCAATTTACTCGGCGCGAGTTGGCAGACTTTTCACTGTGAACGTGACGTATGATAGTAAACGTTGGAGATCCAATGGGGATACTGAATGGCGGATCTGAGTGATCTCAATCAGTAATGCATGACACAAACCCAACGTTTTTTCACAAATGTACCTGTTGGCGGTTCTAGTGTTAAATGTCATTTAAAAAATTTAAAAAACATACAATATACTGCATGTAAGACTATATAATTATTACTGTGTATTGACCAATGGAAAAAAACCACACCAACATAACACATAAATAAAACAAGGATAACTGTGACTTATTGTTGAGTAAATAACAGTGTGTGTGTTTTAAACCTTGGTCCTCCCCGCAGAGATTTCTCCACTTTCTATGATTTTTATTTTAAATGATATTGTCAACTGTATTTAAAAAATGTCTGATCGGATTGGCAAAAACTTCAGAATTTGTATTGACCGCCATTCAAATGACAGCTTTGTTTTCCCCCAAAAGTGGGCGGGGCCGTAATTTTTGCCCGGAAGTGACGCATGTGTTACTCTCATCTATATAATAAGTGAGGAATTTCATGAAAACATATTTATTTACTTTTGTTTCAACATTGGATATTTTGTGTTTGTGGTGGATTCAATCGAATATCAAGAAAATGATTTATGTAAACATGTTTTACTTTTGTTTTAAACATTGCCCGTCTCCGCCCATCACTCTCCTCCTCTGCTGCTGAAACCCTGATTCATGCATTCATCACATCACGACTCGACTACTGCAATAGCATCCTCTAGAGTCTACGGCATACCATCCAACCTCCTCAATAAACTCCAACATATCCAGAACTCTGCTGCCCGCCTCACCCACAGCCGCTCCCGAGACCACATCACTCCCGTCCTCCAGAACCTATTTATTTGTTGTTCTTTTCTTTTCACTATCTCTGTAAAGCGACTTTGAGCACCTGTAAAAGCGCTTACAAATTAAATCTATTATTATTATTATTACTTACATTTTACGTTTTTTTACATGTCACTTATTAGTTTTTATATTACGAGTTACATATTTAATCACAGATAATAATTTGTATTTTATGTACATCTGCAGTATTTTCTGAAAGTGCAAAAATACTGTAAATATTATATAGTACATTTACTATATATATTTAAATAAATGTTATTTGTTTTTATTGTCAAAATACTTCAAATAATGTTTTAATTTATAGTTAATATCTGGAATTTTACAGGATTTTTGCAAGTTATTTAAAAAACATGATAATTACTATATATATTTTTTTACAGTTATTTCCTGTAAAATTAGGATATTTATTTACAGTGTACTTTAAAGGGGTCCTATCATGCAAAATGCACTTTTGTACGTCTTTTATACATGAATATGTGTCCCCGGTGTTCCAGGGAACTCACCAAGTGTCAGAAAACACAACCCTCTCTATTTTCCTCCATACCCAAATTTCTAAAAAAGGGGCTGCAACGGATCTGATAAAAACTGATCCAGATTTGAACACTGTCCTGACGTCAGGACGGTGGCGCTACGGCTATTGGGCCAACTCCACCAATCAGGAGGAGACAGCCACGGCCATTGCCGTTCGAAAGCGCTGGAGACGCTGTAGTACATATGCCAGGCCTGTAGATGGTGCTGTTCTCACTGAATCAGCCCTTGCTAAAACAGAGCTAAAAAATGTCAAATTGAGCAAAATTAGGCATGGCTAAAATGCATGATCTGTTTGGTATTTTGAAAAAAAAAAAGTATAAATATGCCTTATATAGGTATGGTCCTACACTATATTATTCAAATATAGCATGATAGGTCCACTTTAATTTCTGGTTTATTTCTTTATGATTTTATAAATTCAGATTCTGCAGTAAGGGATATGATCCTTCTTCTATTCTTCTTTCCAGTCCAGTTAATGATCTGTAATGAACACAATATTCAACACAATAGAATAATCAATGTGTTTCTGTTCAACACGCTAATAGCATGTCAGTGAACATGGAGGTCAATGGGCTTTCATTCAAATCTGCCCTGAGGTGCGTTCAAGTCCCTCTGTTGACCTCACAACGCTGATATACCAACAAAGTGTCACAAAAAAACGTGTAATAGCTACGTTTGTCCACAGGGCAAAAACGTAGTATATTTAAGCAATAGCTCACGACAGGCCGTGGTATATGGTCATTATATCACAGCTAAGGGGCGTGGTTCGGCCCGACGCAAAGCACAAAATCACAAATAACCCTCATTTTGTAAAAAAAAAACATGGAGCTCAAATAATCTTCGTAATATCTATCAAACTATGGATCCTACACATCGACTGGACGTAGATTATAAAAGTACAGTATACACTTCTCACTAGAAATGTAATCAAAAAGCATTTTAACGGCCAAACTATCCAACAATTTAGGATTTTCCACCAAAAATAAATTGGTTGCCCGCCATGTTTTTTTTTCTCACTGATAGATAGATAGATAGATAGATAGGTAGGTAGGTAGGTAGGTAGGTAGGTAGGTAGGTAGGTAGGTAGGTAGGTAGGTGGATGGATGGATAGATAGATAGATAGATAGATAGATAGATAGATAGATAGATAGATAGATAGATAGATAGATAGATAGATAGATAGATAGATAGATAGATAGCTAGATAGATAGATAGATAGATAGATAGAGGGATTATTTGTGAATATACTACGTTTTGCCCTGTGGACAAATGTAGCTATTACACGTTTTTTGTGAGACTGGGTTGGATATACAGACTAAAATATAAGCTCTTTTTTTTAGACAACTTTGATTCCTGTCTTGTGATTTGTTTTGACTTCCGGAGACCTTTTTTTACCCTTTATCTCGTCCATCGGCTGGTTTCCTGTGTGACGGCTGCACTTCCTGTCTGTGTGCAGCACCATCACACAGATAACACAGAATCGGCTTCTTTCTAAATGTTTATTTTTCTATTTCTGGGCGGCTTTCCTCCCTCTCCTTCTCCTTCCTCCTGCAGACTCCTTCTCTTCAAACACCGATCCGACCGAAGGGAAATAAACCCTCTGTTAGGACTTTTTGACCCACATTGTCTTTACAGAGAAGTACTTTTAGTAAAAGTACTAAAACACATACTCTGTTACAAGTCAAACTCATGCTCAAGATTTAGATTTAAGGTGCTTGAAGTATCTGCAGTTCGTAGAGGTACGTTTAACTCTTATAGAAGGAGAAGATTAACCTTTATTTATCGTTAATCACATTCAGTTTCAGTTACAAGGCATTGCACATAAGTAGAAAGAAACAATACTAGAATTTAAACATCTCAAAATAGAATTAAAGCAGCATTACAAAGTTGAAAATATACAGTAGACAGCAATCTATAAACTTTCACAAGATGATGACAATACAACATTATAATACAATACCTTCAAGGTGTGTCTTCATCTGTGAAGTAACTACAGCTCACATTCAGCCCCAAAAGCACACACACACACACACACACACACACACACACACACACACACACACACACATACCATGTATACATCACTTCAGGGGACATTACATTGACTTACATGCATTTCCTGGAGACTTATCCTAACCTTAACCCTAACCAAGTCTTCACCCTAAAATTAATGATTCCCCTCATGGGGACCTCCATTATGTCCCCATGAGGGAGGCGAGTCCCCACACCTAACTGTGTAAACAGATTTAGGTCCCCACAAGGATAGTAATGCTAGGCCACACATACCCACACACACACACACACACACACACACACACACACACACACATACACACACACACACACACACACACACACACCATATTTTGTGCATCTTTCACAAATAATAACTAAGAATGTTTTTCCTCCTGTTTCTCCCTCCATTGTCCCAACAATCACTTCCTGTTGGGGGGGGGGGGGGGCTCCACAGCAGAATCTCTGCAGAACATATGTGACGAGCTATTGTTCCTGCAGCAGCCTGTTTCCTACACACACACACACACACACACACACACACACACACACACACATACACACACACACACATACACACACACACACACACACACACACACACACACACACACACACACACACACACACACACCACACACACACAATAACACACTAACACGCATGTTTCTCACACCATCGTTCCCATCACTGCCTCAAGTTTCTTTTTCAACATAGCTTGTTCACTGAACACTGAGATGTGTTTTGGTGCGAAACCTCACATCAAAAGAGTCTCTTTTTAAATATACGATTGTTTAAGTTTTTTCTATATTTTATGAACATATAAATTAAAGTTCTGTATTTTTCATTTAGTTGAAAAGTCGCATTGTCTTTAGTTGTTTCCGTGTCATGTGACCCTGTGACTCTAAATCAATCCACTACTATAGACAGTATTACCACACTGGACAAATAAGACGCTCCTAATTTTATATGATTACATTAATACATTAGATGAGTCATTTTGGGGGTAACAATTGAATTAAAACAATAATTTAATTGTTTTTTATAATACTACCAAGAAAAAGGAATACAAACTAAAGTAAATACCTGATTGTGTATTTGTTAAAGAAGCCTGGACTCTCTGATGATGATATATTAAATGTTATATCTCCATACCATTTTAGAAGTGAAACCCCCTCCCCATGGTGCCAAAACGAGGCTAAATCTGCAGGTCAGTGTGTGTGCAGAGGTCACTGTGGTCCTGGGGGGGAGATGGAGGGTGAGGAGGGGGAGGTTTTCTCATTGTCTCCCCATCACCTCTCACAGGAAACAGAGGGTGAGTTACCGCTGTTTCTCCCCCTCTCCACTCCTTTCATTGTTCCTCTGCTGTCATCCAGCCTGAGATCCATCAGATAGTTTATTCCTTTAAAGAGTCCTCTCCTGCTGATGTTCAGGTGTATATCAGTATGTACTGTAGTGTCTCTACTTTAAAGAGTTCTCTCCTGCTGATGTTCAGGTGTATATCAGTACGTAGTGTCTCTACTTTAAAGAGTCCTCTCCTGCTGATGTTCAGGTGTATATCAGTACGTAGTGTCTCTACTTTAAAGAGTCCTCTCCTGCTGATGTTCAGGTGTATATCAGTACGTAGTGTCTCTACTTTAAAGAGTCCTCTCCTGCTGATGTTCAGGTGTATATCAGTATGTAGTGTCTCTACTTTAAAGAGTCCTCTCCTGCTGATGTTCAGGTGTATATCAGTACGTAGTGTCTCTACTTTAAAGAGTCCTCTCCTGCTGATGTTCAGGTGTATATCAGTATGTAGTGTCTCTACTTTAAAGAGTCCTCTCCTGCTGATGTTCAGGTGTATATCAGTATGTAGTGTCTCTACTTTAAAGAGTCCTCTCCTGCTGATGTTCAGGTGTATATCAGTATGTAGTGTCTCTACTTTAAAGAGTCCTCTCCTGCTGATGTTCAGGTGTATATCAGTATGTAGTGTCTCTACTTTAAAGAGTCCTCTCCTGCTGATGTTCAGGTGTATATCAGTATGTAGTGTCTCTACTTTAAAGAGTCCTCTCCTGCTGATGTTCAGGTGTATATCAGTATGTAGTATCTCTACTTTAAAGAGTCCTCTCCTGCTGATGTTCAGGTGTATATCAGTATGTAGTGTCTCTACTTTAAAGAGTCCTCTCCTGCTGATGTTCAGGTGTATATCAGTATGTAGCATCCCTACTTTAAAGAGTCCTCTCCTGTTGATGTTCAGATGTATATCAGTATGTAGTGTCTCTACTTTAAAGAGTCCTCTCCTGCTGATGTTCAGGTGTATATCAGTATGTAGTGTCTCTACTTTAAAGAGTTCTCTCCTGCTGATGTTCAGGTGTATATCAGTATGTAGTGTCTCTACTTTAAAGAGTCCTATATTTATATTTTTGTTTTTATTATTCTCATTTATTTTTGTTATATATATTTTTTAATTCTTTGTTTTCACTTATTATTGTAATTTATTACCGTACCATATTTTTTATTTCATACATTATTTAATTTGTAATCATATTTGTATTCATGTTTAAAAATCATTTTATTCATAGTTAGTATTTATTCATGTTTTAGTTTTTGTAGTATTTATTTTTGCTATATATATGTTTCTGTTATTGTTTGTTTTCACTCATTATTGTCATGTATTACTGTATTTCCATCCCACCTGCAGTACCCCTCTCTCTACACACAGAGCAGCAGCGCCCCCTGCGGCCGCTCCTCTGAACTGCAGTCACTGTTCCTCACAACAAAGATCCTCACAATGCGTTGCAGCACAGCCGACTGTGCAGAAACGGCGAGAAAAACGGTAGAAATGACGTCCCTTTTTTGTGTAATTTAGACCCATGTCTGCACATTTAATTGCTGCTCTCGGTCTCTCTGGATCTTCTTGCTTCTTGGTGACATTTTGCACAGCTTATATTTATTGTATTTATTAAAGGGGGCTCCACAGACCCGCCCCTTCCATCCACTGTCCTCCAGACACTGAGTCCAAGATGACGGCCATCAGCAGGACCACCAGGAGCAGAGCACCGCGTACAGGTGAGAACACACACACACACACACACACACATATTAAACACACACACACATACATTGAACACACACACACAGATGGAGAATGATCGATGAATGCAAATAAATGCACACATATTTGTATTTTTATTTCCTCTTCCGGGTGTTGTCCTGCTGGATCTCTGCACGCGGACTGATGTCTCATGGAATGTACCTTCAGATGATGCAGAGGTAAGACAAGTGTGTGTGTGTGTGTGTGTGTGTGTGTGTGTGTGTGTGTGTGTGTGTGTGTGTGTGTGTGTGTGTGTGTGTGTGTGTGTGTGTGTGTGTGTGTGATCCTCTTTCCTTCATCCTCCTCCCTTTGTTGACCTCTTTCTCATCACTGACATATTTTAATATATCTTTTATGTTTTTTATTTATTCATCTCTTATTGATTCTCGGTTTATAAAATCAGAAGCTGTTCATAACCAACTACTGAAATATATTTCGTGCAGTGAGTAACATGACTGACAGAAAACACATTTACAGTGAGTTTAATAATGCATTAACAGTCAATGACTCTGAGATCGCTCCGGCTTCGTCGCGCTCTGACTCTCCGTTCATAACTACATTATGTTACGTTTGGTTTTGGACGGTTGGTCGGACAGAAAGAGACATTTGAATGCATCACTTTGGGCTTTTGGGACTTTATAATCAACATTTTCCACATTCCCTTCAAATGTCTACTTTATCAAAGCTTGAACAAATGTAATGTTTAGTGACGATAATCAGATCAGATACAGGAGGAGCTAGAATCAGAGAATATTTGGAAAATTGCAAAAGAAAGGTAAGAAAATGATCAAAAATACCTGCAGATGACTTAAAGGTAGGGTAGGTAAGAATGGAGAAACCGGCTCGAGTGCACTAGAATTTGAAAATACACAACCGGAGAAAATCTGCCCCTTCCTTACAGAGCCCCTCCTCCAACACACACGAACGCGCACATGACCAATGAGGGCACGAGATAAGTTTGTGCACAGATGGAAGGCTGACAGGCAGGTAGGCCATCCAGTTATTTTAGCCGGGCCGGCTCAGATGATTGGTCGTGCTTTTTACAGTACTACGGCTTCCACAGATGATATTTATTTATGGATATTTTGTCAAAGCACTTCAGATATTCATTGCTATCTGGATGTTAAGAGCATTCCATGGAATATAACAACAAGTGTATCTCGAGCCGGTTTCTCAAACTCACCTACCCTACCTTTAAATTAGATCAGCTTTAACACATTTAGTGTAAAACTGCAAGACTGTAGGTCAAAAGGTCAGAGAAAAGGGATCAACTGTGTATTTATTGTGTAATAAATAATCCATGAAATCACCCCAAGTGGAGAAAGTGAGCCAAACTATTCCTCTGTAAGCTCTATCGTCCCAAATCAAATCAGAAATGTACTTTTTAAAAGATAAATTATCTTCATTCTATATCCTGGATCTAGATACAGAAATGTTCCTGTGTTTGGCTCCTCTCCTCTCCGCCTTCATTTGAGCTTCTTTATTTTGGGATGTAAAACAAACCGAAGTCCCTCGAGCATCCTCCATCCATCCTGAGTTCTCCCTCCGTGTTGCACGGTTAGTCAGAGGTTCAGACGCAGCGTGGTGTGAACCCACAGTCGGGATGTGTGTGGGATGTGTGTGAGATGTGTGTGAGATGTGTATGAAATGTGTGTGATATGTGTGTGATATGTCATGTGTGTGATATGTGTGAGATGTGTGTGGGATGTGTGTGAGATGTGTGTGAGATGTGTGTGATATGTGTGTGATATGTCATGTGTGTGATATGTGTGTGATATGTCATGTGTGTGAGATGTGTGTGGGATGTATGTGTGTGAGATGTGTGTGAGATGTGTGTGATATGTGTGTGATATGTCATGTGTGTGAGATGTGTGTGAGATGTGTGTGAGATGTGTGTGAAATGTGTGTGAGATGTGTGTGAGATGTGTGTGATATGTCATGTGTGTGAGATGTGTGCGGGATGTATGTGTGTGATATGTGTGTGAGATGTGTGTGAGATGTGGTGGTGAGATGTGTTGTGTGATATATGTGTTGTAGATGTGTGTGAGATGTGTTGAGATGTGTGTGAGTGATGATATGTGTGTGAGATGTGTGTGATATGTGTGTGAGATGTGTGTGATATGTCATGTGTGTGAGATGTGTGTGAGATGTGTGTGATATGTCATGTGTGTGAGATGTGTGTGAGATGTGTGTGATATGTCATGTGTGTGAGATGTGTGTGAGATGTGTGAGATGTGTGTGAGATGTGTGAGATGCGTGTGAGATGTGTGTGAGATGTGTGTGAGATGTCTGTGAGATGTGTGTGAGGTGTGTGTGAGGTGTGTGTGAGATGTGTGTGAGATGTGTGTGAGATGTGTGTGGGATGTATGTGTGTGAGATGTGTGTGAGATGTGTGTGGGATGTGTGTGAGATGTGTGTGAGATGTGTGTTAGATGTGTGTGATATGTCATGTGTGTGAGTGTGTGTGAGATGTGTGTGTATGTGTGTGAGATGTGTGTGAGATGTGTGTGAGGTGTGAGATGTGTGTGAGATGTGTGTGGGATGTATGTGTGTGCGATGTGTGTGATATGTGTGTGATATGTGTGGTGAGATGTGTGTGAGGTGTGCGATGTGTGTGGATGTATGTGTGTGAGATGTTGTGAGATGTGTGAGATGTGTGTGCCTGTGTGTGCGCTGTGTGTGCGCTGTGTGTGCCTGTGTGTGGGCTGTGTGTGCGCTGTCCTGGTGGGCTGTCTGTGGTCTGTGTGTGCGCTGTGTGTGCGCTGTGTGCGCTGTGTGTGCTCTGTGTGCGCTGTGTGTGCTCTTGTGTGCGCTGTGTGTGCGCTTTGTGTGCGCTGTGTGTGGCTGTGTGTGCTCTGTGTGTGCGCTGTGTGTGCTCTGTGTGTGCTCTGTGTGCGGTGTGTGCGCTGTGTGTGCGCTGTGTGTGGGCTGTCTGTGTGTGCGCTGTGTGTGCGCTGTGTGTGGGCTGTCTGTGTGTGCGCTGTGTGTGCGCTGTTGTGCTGCGCTGTGTGCGTGTGTGCGCTGTGTGTGCGCTGTGTGTGCTGTGTGTGGGCTGTCTGTGGTGTGCGCTGTGTGTGCGCTGTGTGTGCTCTGTGTGTCTCTGTGTGTGCGCTGTGTGTGTGCTCTGTGTGTGCGCTGTGTGTGCTCTGTGTGTGCGCTGTGTGTGCGCTGTGTGTGGCTAGTCTGTGTGTGCGCTGTTGTGTGCGCTGTTTTGTCTGCTGTGTGTGCGCTGTGTGTTCGCTTGTGTGCGCTTTGTGCGCTGTGTGCTCTGTGTGTCGCTGTGTTGCTCTGTGTGCGCTGTGTGTGCGCTGTGTGTGCTCTGTGTGCGCTGTTGTGTGCGCTGTGTGTGCTCTGTGTGTGCGCTGTGTGTGCGCTGTGTGTTGTTTTGTTCGCTTTTGTCTCCCGCCTCTTTTCCCCCTGCCCTGCCTTGTGGGCGCCCCTCCTCCGCTTTCCTCTCGTCTCCCTCCGTCTCGTCTCCCTCTCTTTTCGCCCGTTTTTACCGCGCTCCCTCCCTCCCCTCGCTGCTCTCCGTGCAGCATTATGAAAACATAGAAAGAACCTCAGGGCACGCTCTTCAATAAAACATGAAATGCATCATGGGTAATGTCCTACTAGAAGAAAAGGAGCTGAGGAGGAGGAAGGAGATCTGACCCGGAAGAACATTGTGATTTATTCTGACCTACATATCTCCACATCTGCACATGATGAGAGTATTTCTGCAGACAGAGATCACTACAGATTATACATCTCTCCGTGTTGCTCTCTCTCTCTTAGAGTTTCATGTGATCAGGGATTAACATTCCTCCAAATGCAGCATAACGTGATTTAAATACGGCAAAATATACATGGAATAAAACTGGAAAACATGGATAAAATACCGTCATTTATGCAAAGAGAAAAATATATAATAATAGAGAGAAAATAGAATGAAATAGAAAACAGAGAATGCATGACATAACAAATATTTAAAATATACAACCCTTTAAATTAGACATTAAATAATAACAATTACATTTACAAGTGATTAATAATAATTATAATAGATGACTGATTTAATGTACGTTTGTTGTTGTTGTTTACAGGAGAAAGACTACGTTGGTTTCGCCTCGCTGCCCAACCAGCTGCACAGGAAGTCGGTGAAGAAAGGGTTCGACTTCACGCTGATGGTGGCCGGTGAGAGGAGGGTCTTTCTGGGAGGGGTTTAATCCATGGTGTCCACTGACTGCATGCAAT